AGAAAAGACCTTCAAGCATTTGAAGTGAAAAAAGAACTCTTAATAACAGGATGCAGCAGAAGATCCAACAATAAAATCTGATATAATAAAAATAAAAGACAATTTTCACTAACCAGTGCAAGCTGAGGTTTTCTATATTGAAAACGGTGTTGACTGTGGTTGAAACCAGATGGAGATTCCAAATTGACTTGCTTATTTGCTCTCTGGAATTTCTCTAAAAGCTTAGTCGGTTCCAATTTGATATCTTCACCGAAATCTAGCCCACTCATCTCTTTCAAAGACCTCAATTCTCCAAATACCAAACCTTTATCATCCAAGAAGGAATCTTGAGATTTGTCCATCACTGAACCAGGCAAAAACATTTGGAAGAACACCACAAAGAAGAGGAAAACAGCAACGGTGCAAATCCATTGGAGATAATCTAGCTTCTCGAAAAGAAAAAGGCGAGAAAGTCTCGATCTGAGTCGGGTGGGGAAGGGGTTTCTTTCGTTCCTACTAGCGGCTCTCTTCAACGAGATCCCGTTTTCCAAGGAACTCATTTACATTCTCATTGAAGAAGGGAAGCTCAGTCTAAAATAGGAAAGAAGGAAACAGAGCAGAGAGTAGAAGTGGGTGTCTTAATACAGAAAGAGGAAGCTTGTGTGTAAAGAAGGGTATAGCAACAATAGCATTCAGATAGATTTCAATGGTCATTTGTAAAAGATGAATAGAGAGCGATAAAATTTGGGTGAGAGCTGTAATCTCTTACTATTTTCCTTTATTTCTCTTTGGCCTACTTGAATAATTAAGAAGGATTTTTTTAAAATATATTTTAGTTTAAGTAACATCGGCCTTCTGATAAAAGTAAAGCATTTGTTGATAAAACTACTGAAACATGAATTGATTATTAACTTCAACCAAAACGTAGCTCGGATTGTTTATCAATGATTTATTTTCAGAAAATGTAATTGCTATTTCTAATTATTATCTTAACAGATGAACAAATTATCAACTAGCGTTTGTAGTCCAACGGTTAGGATAATTGCCTTCCAAGCAATAGACCCGGGTTCGACTCCCGGCGAACGCAATTTCTACTTTTTGCTTCTCTGATATGAATTATTGCAATTATATCCTCAATAAAGCTATCAAAGAATAGCTCTTAGGTGAGTCATACATAGATCTAATACAGCACATAACAAATTGTATTTGCATAATGTTATAGTGACAAAAATTGATTGATTCCTCAGGTCTGGAAGAAAATGTTATAGTGAAGGACAACAGAATATTTGGACTTCATCCCTGATTGAACCCTATTTAAATGGAAGAAAAAAAATCAAGAAATGAGCATTTCCAACTGCTATTGGTCCATGTCATCAGCTAGATCAATGTTGATCCGAGGGCTTAGAAGCAGATGGTTTCGAGAAGAAGATGATCCAACTGGATGCTCCACCTCTTAGGGTGGTCCTTGGGGTTGCAATTGGTTGTGCAGAAAGCAATCACATGGTCTTTTGGCTTTTTCATAATCTGCCCAGAGGGGACTCGAGGGCATGATCATCAACCAACCAAAGGCCATGGTCTCGGAAGCGCTTGATCTTCTTCTCAAAGCCGAGGATGTAATTATTATGAATTATGACATGCATTCCCTTGGTTTGTTGCACCCATGTATTGTTCTTGAAGTACAATCCTCCTGTTGGAAATGCTGCCTGAGGAAGCAGGTAGAGATCCACCTGCAGAACATATTATCAATGTATTTTTTTTTATAAGAGATATTATCAATGTATGATTAGAAGAAAACCAAAATCTTACTACCAGAAATAGATCACACACCATCGATTACAAATATGATAGAGAGAAGGCTCATAAAAACCACAAATCCCACATCCTAGTCTTTACACACCCAAACCAAAAGCAACAGTTTGCCATGAACCAGAAATGCAAGTAAGACCACATGCAAAAGATATTTCTAAGTAATATCAGATTGGACTAATCATAGATGTTCCTCTAGCACTATATAAGCCAATTTCCCATGTAACAGATTGCCAAAAGATGCAACTACACATAATTCATTTGAATATGAATACACTAAGTGCAGCACTAGTCAAAGGACATCAATCAGCAATGTTTTTCAAATTATGGCATGATGAACGAGTACATAATATTGTCCGAACTCCGAACCTTGAAGTGTTGGCCAGAATTCAGGAAAACATGCAAATATGGCACCAAAAAAAATTCACTTGACAAAGAAGAATACAAATGAGAACTATCAGGTACATATATGCTATAACCCCAAAATTGAAATGACAAGAAGATGCATACATACCACTCCAGCAGTTTTTAGTAGCGCCCAGTTAAAAGCAGGCTGATCATTTGCATTCTTTCCTTTGGACCATGGCTGAGCTTGAAGTTCTTCAATCCATTTATTCATGACTAGCTTTGCTCCATCGGTGGCACGCAGAAAAATCATACAACTACAAATATAAGGGCGACCCTTTTTCCCTGGAGGTGGCAAATCATGGGAATGGTTCAGTGGCTTCACCTGATCAACCAAAGAGAAGAAGCAGGAAACAACTTTATGAGAAAGAAGCAGTGTCAGCAAAACATTTCCAGTGCATAGCAGCCTAGAGTCCAGGGAAATGGGGTGACTAAGGTTAATTACAAGATATTGTCTCGTTCCATTCTCACCATTTTTTTACTACTATATCTCAATTCCCAGAAAAGGAAAAATGAAACAAAATAAACAAGGATAGCCTTTCATTGCATACAATCCAATTTAACTAGCATTCATGGCTTAATAATCATGGTGACAGTAGAATTGCTTAAGATAAGCCAAAGTTTATTAATTTCTCATAATCATGCAGAGTGGCTTAATCTTAATGAATTTTTTGGCTATTCTTGCATTGCAAATACATCACAGCACTGTTTGGGTTTACACTACCAAGTTCCAAGTACGAAACTAAGCAATTTTAAAAGCAAAACAGGCTGATACATACTGCAGTCATGTCATCGGTGAAGTAAACATCATGGTTTCCTTCCATATAAGGGAAGGGGTCTTCCAACCACACCATATCAACATCATTATACATAACATTGTAGCCGAGCTCCAAGATTTGCAACAAATGCTGAGGTCTCCTGGCAGTAAAATTAAAGAATCCCTAAATCAAGCACCCAATTAGCATCAATTGAAAACGCTAACAAGTAAGAAAGAGATAAGTTTCAATAAACAAAAACAAAGACGAGATTGAACCTGAGAGCCAAATTTATGGGCGGTTTGCGAATCAAGAGCTGGCGGGACTAGGAGGCATGGCCAGGCCATTTTTCATTAACCTTGTCAAGAGTAACATAATCCTCAGCTATGACAAGGACTTTCTCTTGGTGCTTCTGTCTGGTGATGCTAATCAGCCAATTGTTGAGAAAAGGCCAGTAAGGATGACTCACTGCGCAGACAATTATGGTACCATTTTTGGCCACGAAAGAAGAGGCTTCGGCCAAAGAGTAGTCTCGCCATTTGGAAATAGGAGAAGAGGTCATTTTAGAGTTAGAGAATATGGATTGGGGCATGCCTGACCATGGCGCGAACACTCCAAGGATTACCATGAGGGAGAGGAGAATAATCAGGCTCGTTGGACTGAAGATCGAAATGGGTCTTTGCGAGGTTGATGAAGAACGTGGGGAGATCGGGTAGCCGTTCGAGAATGGATTCTGGATAGGCCGTTGGTGCAAGAAGGATGACATTGTTGCTGGTAATACTAAAGATCATAAACAAACGAACTTATTTATGAATTTTTAAACTAACAAAAAGACTCCAACAAGGGGGTCGAAAAATTTGTGTGTAAGGAAACGTGTTTTGAGATCGGATCTGTAAACGACGATTCATGGCAGTACTAGCTTTATAGTAGAAGTAAACAGTTGAGCAGGATATGATTGTCGGTGTTGAGTCCAAATTCCTACTTCGATGATATTCTCTCTTCACTCATTTTCGATTGGGGAAATTTACAGTAAATTGGCATTTGTTCTTGGATTAATTTCCTCCAACACCCTCAACCTATAACCCCGGCTTTAAATTGCTCTCAAATTTTAAAATATTTAATTGAATCTTCAAAATATTAGTATTATATTTAATAAAAAATTCATTAATCTAATTATTAGATTAATTATTAAAATATATAAATATTGAGTTTTTTTTTAACAATTTCTATGGGAAAGGAAGTGAAATTTTGTTCCTAATAAGTATTAAATCCACACCCAAAAAAAAAATGTCAACTAAGAACTTTTAACTATATGCTCTAAAGATTATTTACATAAATATTGGAAGTTAAATTTATCATTATAACACTTTATGGTTTTATGTGTCATGATCTATTGGTAAAGAAATTTATTGTTATTCCTAACAATCTTAAGTTTGAATAATGTGTATGCAAGAAATAAATATTATTTTATATTCACTCTAAATTTATAAAAATAAAAATAAAACACCACTATTATTTTTTTTATAAGTTTCAACATTTTTTTTTTGTCCAAAACAAAACTACAAACCTCTCCTTGCAAGAAATTACTTTCTTTCTCCCAACATCAATATTTGATCCATTTCGATATATTCATGATAGAATTTATCAATGAACAACAGTAAGTGAATGAAAATACGATAATAGAAACATAAATGTTGTTTTAATTATTATTAATATTTTAATTATTATTAATTTTTTACTGCTATTATTTGTTTATTAAAAAATTATTAATATTAATTTGATTTTAAAAATTAAACATCCGTTTTAAAAATCCAAAAATTTGATATCTGAAATTAAATATATAATTTTTTGAAAACCGGATATGGATCACTATTTTGTCAATCCAAAAACCCATATATCTTGTCTTTCTAATCAAGTTTGATATCCAAAAATGCACACCTGGTTTGCATAAATTATTAGCGGGAAAAATTATATATTTAGCAGTTTATAACCTGCTTCATCTCTCTTACATTAACGAAAGTGCTAATGACCAACAGGAAATTCTCTCCAATGAGATGGAAAATAGAAGCTCCAATTATAGGATTATTGGACCAATTATTGATGAGTGGGTATTGTTACTCATCAGGAATTTTATACAAATTGCTCATTATTCAAAACCCATATAAGAGAAATGAAAAAGGAAGGGGGGGGGGAATTTCATTTGGGCCAAATTACCAGGGAGGGTAATTACAGGCAACTCCATCCCCCTAAAGAAGATATTTTACAGTGTGCCGCCACCATCGTCTTCATCAGCTTGTTTTAATGGAGATTCATGCAACATATCCAGCCTTTAGCTTCATTGCTTTTTGTTTGACAAAGAAAGCTGCCAGCATACTTTTGCTCCTGACAGGTGCTCGTATAATCTGACGATTTGGGTTATCAAATGACCTGAATGTTGTCAAAGGTTTGGAACCCTCTAACTCCTGTCAAAAACAACGGTGGTTTTATATAAACATGCAAAGCAACAAAGTATATAGGAATATCCACCAGAGAAACTTATATTACCCACTTGGACTCAAAAGTTGACTCCTAGTGAATCATTTTGAATGGGGACATAAATGTTTCGAATTCTAAAATTAACAAATGCAATTGAACATTTTCAGCCTCACTAACCAAATATCAACTGATATACCAAAAGGAACTAATATAACAGTTGGAGATAAATCCATCAACTCTAGTGTTAACATAGAAGCATCAATTTAAAGAACATCAAGCATGAATGCATTCTTGGTGATTTAGACATTACCCTTTGTATGATACCCAATGATGGCACCAATGCATTAGAAGCAGGAAAAGGTGCCGCTGCAGACTTTTTCCTTGCATTATTTCCATTTTCTGCCAGAATTACATTCAAAATATAAGTCTGATCATCTAAAGCCTTTTTATTAAAAATACTAAATGAGCTACTGATCTAATGTACATACCCACTAATCGGAAAACCTCAGAAGATGCACCAGAAGGTTTTGAGATTTCATTGCTGCATGGTAAGCAATGTTAATAACTTCTTGCTCTCAGCAGAACATTAGAAGAACTACAATGAAAGGAAAATTTCTATTCAACATTAATTTTTTAAGCCAAATTCACCTTGCTAAAGTTTGTGATGTCCCTTTGGAAGTAGACTTGGTTTCTGAGGATATGTGCCATGAAAGAGTTTTTGATGCAGGAGTATCTATAGTTAAAAACATTTATTCAGTGCACGATACTGTCTTCCTTCAATAAGTATATAGCAACAATGCAGAAAACAACTAAAATTAGAAGAGGTCCTGCCAGCTAAGAAATACTATACCTGAAGGCTGAAGACTAGATTTAGCCTTAAAATAGTTTTGCCTAGCATCTGTCGTTGCCTGAGGACTAAAATGTACCTTCTTGCTGACAGAATCTGGCTTCGAGAAAATTGCAATGGAAGAGAAGCAAAAAAAAAAGGACAAAAGGGAGGAAAATGAGAAAACATACAAAACTTCAACCCACTAATTAGCTTCCAGGAAATGGAGGGGCTTCTATCAACTACACTTACTCGGTAAAATGTAGTGCTTGTGATGTTGGGATAAATGCCAACAACTGCTGCTGCCTGAGACCTTCTTTATCCGTGAATGTTTGGCATGTAAGAAGTTTCTAATATTAACAAACTTAAATTAGTTAAGGCCCTCCATTCCATATATTTATTGTACTAGCATATTAAAGAAGAGAAGTACAAAGAGATTACCTGATTTAAAGAAGATGTTTTTAGCTCTATGGTGGACACTTCCAATGTTTGCTGCTCAAGAAGATCAGTTAACTTGTAAGCCACAGTGCCAAGGTGATCGACAGCATTAACAAGAGCACGTACAGCATAATCTTTCAGGTTGTCCAGTACCCTAACAAATGTATCCAACATAGAAAAGAGTTGCATTATAAGAAGAGAACAATGGAAGTAAACCAAACACAATCAAATGCATAAGCATAACAGCTTGATACAAAAGAAAATAATTACAGAGGCATAATGTGCAAGTCAATCATGATATTGCTTGCATGAAAATGAAAAGGCTGTTAAACAATGAAGGAACTAAGCAGGCCTTAAAGTAAATAGACCGCCTTACATCTGCTTCTGCTCATTATGTAGATAAGACTTTTCACAGTATTCTGCAGCTGAATAGAGCTGAGGCCTTAAGTTCTTGAGCTCCTATAAAAACAAAAGGGTCCAACTTATCAAAAGCATTACAATGCAATGCTGGAAAGTTTCAAAATTCATGAAGGCAAACAGGGACAACAAGTTTGCAAACCATATAGAAGTCTCAACTTTTGAAGATATTGCATTCAGAATCATGGACTTCCCAATTTCCTCCTAATATGAAATTCTTACATTGTAGCACATAATGGACTCGAAAGAGCTTTCTCGGGGCATCATTCAACTCAATTCGCTTTCTATTTGACTAATACTACGTGCTCTAGCCTCTAGACTCATGAATGGAAATCAAGCAAACACTGCTCTCCAATAAACACAGTAAGAGTCTTTATCTACCTTACCATAGATTCATCCATTGCTATGAGCCTATGACTCTACTTTCCCATTAACTCAGTCATAAATGCTACGATCTACCAATATTAAACCGTGAAGTCCTCTTATTAAGACGCCAAAATAAATAATAATTAAGAAAGCGATAACATAATTGATCTTAGGCAAACACAGGGAATTTCTTTACTCATGTCATTTTCTCTCCCTCGCATTTCCCGTCAACAATCAAGCAGTGACTTCTAAAGTCAACAAAAATAAAATCAAATTTAAAAAGATATCCAGATCTGGTTCAAAAAGACAGAAACTGGCGATGGAGAAATGAACCTGCAAAGCTTTAACGAAGCTCTTGCTACGCTCCATGGAGACCTCGTCGAAGATCATGGCAGGATTATCAGGCCTGTGTAACTCCACCTCCATTAAGTCACCTTCTGTTATTAAACCTCAAACCCCTGGAAAAGAAAATTGAAGAAATCCAGCAGCAAGAAAGGAGAAGTGAAGTTACAGTTAACGATAAAGGAATGGAAGTAATAAGGAGATTTGGGGGTTAGGTTTTTGGTGGAATAGCTAAACAAACTTGGGAGAGAAAGTAGAAATAATAAGTAAAGAAGAAGGGGGGGGGGGGGAAGTAAAGTAGAAGCAATCGGAGAGAATTGGAGTTAATAGCACGGGAAAATGACTTTCCACCTTCTTCTGCGAGAGCGTTGCCGTTGTATTTGATTCCAAAGTGGTAGCGTTTAATGTGGTAGTTCACGCTTGACCCCGTTTCGGTCATTATTTTTTACTTCATATGGCCCATCCAGATTCTCTTTCATTTAACAATGTCAACTTGAAGCTTAATCAATATTTCTATCTAATAATAAATACCATAATATTTTTATTATAGTATTATTTCTATATTAATATAAAATGAATTTTTAGATGGATCCAATTTAGATAAATAATTTTTTGTCATTTAATTTAGGCGGTTTTGATAAATTAGGGTTTGAATTTAAATTATATTCTTTTAATTTTTTATTTAATAATAAATAAAATATAGTTTAATTATTTGATAAATATAAAATTTTAAAAATAAAATAAATAAAAATAAAACAAATATAGATTTTAGAGAAATAGGTCAGAACTCATTAATAGACTTTAATGATAAAAAAGAAGTATTGTTGTTTTAAAAGATTCATAGTTTGAACCACAAACATTTGCAGTGTGTATGATGTAAAAGACATTTCCTTTTCATTAACAATCTGTCACGATCGGAGCTGAAAGGATAAAGTTTGAAGAAGGAAGATCTAAAATTGGGCATGAACACATAAGAGAAAAGGGAATTAGGGATTGCAAAATGTTATCAGGTGATGAGACTCGGCTAACCGCAGCAGATCTAGGAGGAGCCCAGTATGCGAAATGAAGTAAAGATCCAATCATATCCATGTAGGTGGCCCAACATCAATCAAACCTACCAAAGAAGAGATAAAATTAATTAATATACGCCAGTTAGATTTTATTTACCGTTGACAGGATAACGTGAATGAATAAAACATTGTACCAGGGATCCTTGCAAATTATCTGAGAAATTATTAAGAATTCTTCTTGAACCTTTCTACTATTGTCTGAAATCCTCTCTCTATTCATAAATATTTAACCTAATTCGTGACATAATTATGCTTCCAATAATTATTTCTCAAAATAGCCTTTTATGTTTATGATTTTTCCGGGTAACCGTTTTATATGAAATATTTAAGGATAAATTACTTATTTAATACATAAATTATCAGTTTTTGTTTGTTCTAGTACTTAAACTTTCAATTTTTTTTAAATCATACCTAAAGTTTATTTTTTGTTTCATTTTGATACTCCGTCGTTAAATATTTAACGCGTTTAGAACCTAAACTATCAGTTTTGATATGTTTTAGTATCTAAATTTTAAAAAAAATCAAGTTAAGTATGATTTAGGTACTAAATGTGTTTTGGTACCTATACTTCAATTTTTTTTCAAAACTTAATGGCAGGGTACTAAAATGAAATAAAAAACTAAACTTTAGGTATGGTTTTAAAAATTTTGAAAGTTTAAGTACTAAGACAGATCAAACTGATAGTTTAAGTACTAAATGTGTACTTTGCCCAATATTTAATTATAGTTAAAGTCAAGTTTTCCAATAATTATAAATGATTTCAGATAATGATGAATCAATCATAAATTTAAATAAATTTTATATTTGAATTATAAAAATAAAAATATATGATATTTTTATTCTAATCAAAATAAAATTCTTATAAAATAGTTCAAACTTATTTAGTCATAATAAACAACCAAGATTATTTCAGAAAATATTCTTCAAAACATGATTGTTTTGATAAAAATATTTACTTCATAGATAAAATAAAAATATTGTATACAATATCAAAGAAGATAAATAAACTATATAACAGTTTTTAGGAACTGAACTAAACTAAACACTAAATATGATTTAATGAGAGTATCAAATTCAAACTTAAACCAAACATTAAGTATGATTTTGAAGAAAAATTAAAGTTTGGGTACCAAAATGGAACATGCAATGAGCAGAAAATACTGGGAAAATATAAGATGCGACAACATTAATATACGACTAAGAAAATATATTACTATAAATATTGTTATTTTTTAACATTTTTAATAAAAAAATTACCTTAAACATTATTATTTTTATCGTAAATGATATTATTGGGTGCTTTACTAAAAATGTTTAACATATCTAGTAAAACATTACTTAAAATATTATTATTTTTTATCGAAAATATTAATATTAAACACTTTACAGGACTAATATTTTAGATAAAAAATAATTTTTTAAATAATTTTTTATCAAAAATAATAAAAATATATATTAATATTTTCAATAACGATTTTTCTTAACTACCGTACGGCAAATACCAGGTATGAATCATGATGATGCAATGATGTGTATGGAATTAGCGTCGTCCATAAATGATTGTGGCGGTGGGTGGCTCTGCTGTAATGATATGGATTTGGCGACAGATATTCATAATACTTTCGCTTTCAATATTCCAGCTGGAATTTAGTATTAGCACCGGCGATTTTGTTTTTTGCCCTTAGATTTTTTTCTCTCAAGTGGAATTATCAAATCATATGGTTATGCCCTTTCTTTCTGTAAACTTGGCTGGGTAATGTGATGAAAACAATGTATTATCTAAAGAGTGTGGGAGAAATTATTTTCTTAAATAGTGTGACTGTAAGGGTGTATGTTAGAAAATGTTTAAATAATATCATTATTTATATGTGACGTGTCTTCTCTATATTATTGTTTGAAGTATTTTATTTAAGAAAATAATTATGAAGATGTAATAAGTGGGAAAAAAAATCACCTTATTGTCTTGACAAAATTGTCCCCTTTTCCCATTGATATAATTGCTTACATCAATTGGATAATGCAATTGTGGATCATAATAACTTAAGAGTAAATTTTAAGTTTTTATATTAATTAACTTGTGACTTCCGACTTTTTAATTTTCGAGTAGACTCGATAAATATAAGCATCATATTTATGTAAGGTCATTTTTTATAAAATAAACTATAAATTTCATCGTTTACGTTTATTTTTAATTTAATTTTATTAAATTTTAAAATATTGTAAATTTAATCATTTAGTTTTAAATTATTTTTATTTTAATCATTTTGATCGATAAATCATAAAAGATATGATAATGTAGTTTTTTTTTTGTTATGATATGATTTATATAATGTAAGTACCAACTTAAAATTTAAAATTGGTGTACGTTCATCTCTTTTTTTTCGTGTTTGTTGATAGGCGACGGCTCTGACTTTAATGTTAGTTGTCGACCGTCAGTATCTTTATTGTCCTTCTCTTTGCTCATGTCGCATATTTATTTTCTTTTTCTTTTTTAATTTTCAATAAGTCTATTCGTATGACATGTTTTCATCTGTCTTTATAAAACGTTTTCTTATTCCTTTTGGCGTGTTTTTGGATCGTTTGACCTTTTTTCATTTATCTTTCTATAAGGATTGGTTTGACATCATCACGACTGAGCAAGATGACGCTTATCAAATATCTTGTTGATATTCCCTGCATTAGACCCTAGGATTTGATTTAGATATCTGATATGCGTTTGTATATATCTTTTCACATCGCTCCAATCTGATTTGCGGTTTGTTTGCGGTCTTTTAGTAGCTTTATTCTCTTTTGTGATTTGTTTGCCGATACAATCAGATTTGCTTATATTATCTTTATTCGAGTTTTGGTTATGTTTTTAATCTTTCATTGTATGGTACTTATGTTGTCTTAAGTTGTTAGTTTTTGTTTCAATGATTACAAAAAATTATCCTAATTATGTGCTTAATTTACTATTATAATTATAAATATTTATTGTGATTTGGATATTTCTTATTTTAAATAAAATTAATGACCTCTATAAAAAAAAATTCACATATACAACTTTATTCTATTCAACTTCAATTATGAAAAAATAATATTTCCAGTTATCAATTATAAACACAAAACATTGATCAGAAAATGCACACCTTGTAAAATAAAACTTACAATTTGCAGAGATCACATCACTATTTTCTCTTACCAGTATTTAATAATACCCATAAATTCTTCATGCGAATAACAATAAAAAACTAGAGGCAACATTTCAACAAATATAACCTAACATTATTCAGTTGCAGCCACACTAGGATACAACTGAATTATACTTGTCATGCAAGGCAGTTTTGGATTATAATCATCCCCCAATCTTCATAATTCTAACTCTACTTTTGAAAAGCACTTCTTAAAGTATTGTCAAACAGATCATTATTTGTATTTATAGGTGGAAGTGGTAACCTTCCTATACACGGACATATATAAGATAATTATATTTATAAATTTTAGGGGACAAAAATATTTTCAATAAAAATATATAAAATATAAAATTTAAAAAAATTATAAGATAATCGTCTCCACCTGTCCCTTGATATATCCCTATTCGTGCAAGATGACTTTTCCTAAATCCATTTCCATGTAATTGGTGTCACTGTATGTTTTCTTTATCTAACCAATAAATGCTACCAAAAAGTATTTTATTCTATATATTTTCTAATTTTTTAATTTAATTAACACACAAAGTTATCAGATTCAAGTAGACACTTTAAAATTAAAAAGAAAAAAAATTATATATAGATAGAAAAATTAATGACATGTTTTAAAATTGATTGAAAATACTTAAGTTTTTTATGTTTAATTTTTTATTTTATTAAAAAACATTTAAATTAACAAATTATTGTAGTAAAAAATTAATACAAATATCTTTATCATGTATTCAAATCTTAGGTAATGATTTTTAGGCTAAATTATATGTTTAAACATCAGCTATCACTTTTGTTCTTTTTTGGTCACCAACTATTTTTTTGTTTCAAAATCATACTTAACGTTACGTTTTGGTTTCATTTTGGTCACCGCCGTTAAAAAAATTAACATAACTATTGATGTGATATTTAAAAAAAATTAAATGATAACATGGTATTACTTTATAGTGACACGTTAGCATCACCGTTAATTTTTTTCCATCGAGTGACCAAAATGAAACCAAAAAACAACGTTATGAATGCTTTTGATTGAAACAAAACATAGTTGAATAACCAAAACGAAACAAAAGTGATAGTTGGGGCACTAAACGTACAATTTACCCTAATTTTTATTTATTTTGTTTAAAGATTTATTAAAGCATAATGTTGTGAACTTTCCAACAATTTTTGAGTAATAACAGTAGAAGAAATAGAAAAAAGAGGACAAGATAGAAAAGAAAGGTTTCAACAAGGAACACTGAACTTAGAGAAGAAAGTAGTGGTAACGTATCTCTTCTTTAGGTCATCCTAACCTATTTATACTAATATTTCTACAATATAAATAAAATAAACTAACAGTGATTTCCTCCTAATTACGATCTTTCATAACATCATTCGATTTTCTATTCATAACATTATCCATGCCTCCAAAGAGAACCATGTTCTCAAGACTCCAAAGTAATACATTTATGCTGAATTCCTTGATTCCTTCGTAACAGCCAAAGGAAATTTTGTTCAATTCCTTTCATTTTTTTATAAACATGCAGTGATGTATCTCTTTAAATCATTGCAGACGATAATCTCCATCTTCCCCATATCAAGAGTTGTTAATGATTTCTCCGCTGACTTGGGTACAATACACTTTTATATTCTATTTTTGCAACTGTGCTCACTCTTTTTCTCCATCATTGGTACCGTGCGAAACTCATCACCAAGCTCAATTTCATTAGTGAACGCAACTGCACTAGAAATAGAAAACTCTAAGTAGTTGCTACAAATTGATGCTATTACAGTAAAACCCCCATCAATCTTTGCCAAAAATACTTCACCGACAACATTTAGAAAAATAGCACTCTCCTGATCTTCATACCATCTTCCATAACAAGGACGAAGATAATTATATCAACTCTATTTGCTTGGATTTCATTCACATGTCTAAAAACAGTTGAGCTAGATACACACAATGACAGAATTTCATTAAGAAATGCTCGAGATTTTTCCATGGTTACATCAACAACAAGTACAGCTAACAACTCTGAATCAGAGATCTGATCGCTGAAAACTATTTGTAACCCCAATTGTGACATTTCAAAAATTCATGACTTATCGATTGATCACAAACGATTCATCACAGATTGAAACGAATGATGTAATGAACACTTTGCCCCTTCCAGATATAAGACAACATTTAGGATATGCACCAAGACACAAGGTCTTGCTATATCATTGAATGTTTTACATATTCAGCCAAAAGAATTGGAATGTTGGTTTTCTTCACAAACCGTAACAAAGTTGATGTGCATTTCCTGGCTTGTGACAGACCTCCAGCACTTCAGTAACTCTCTTTAAGTTAGTTTTCTGAATTGAATCAACAATTAGAGGTTGTGATGAGAGGGGCTGAATTTTCACCAATACGTCCTCAATATCTATATGAACATAAAGGTAAAGTTCATTTGCTCTAATCTCTGTACGTTCAGCTCTGCTGCTAATTTGTTCTAATCTCTTTTCACCTTATTCATATATAACACAAGCAGGCTGATCAAAGTCACGCCCCATTAGTGCAGCCATATGCAACAAAAGGGTGCTCTTTCCAACACCAAGATCACCACTCATTAAAATTTATAAGCATTGATTCCCATGTTGGTTAGTGCAAGCATGAACAATCCCTAAAGAACACTTATTGATATTTTCGGGAGCAATTCCATCCTTAAAACATATAACAGATGAAACACCACTTAGCAATTCCATCCTCATGAAAGTTACTATCAAATGCAATCATCATACATAATCCAACAGTCATGTATAACAATTCTTCACCCTTCATCTCCTTGTCATGGAGAGCCGATTCCGAGAATCCGTAATCATTGGGTTGATGAATAGAAAAATTCTCTCGCTATCCTGAATTGGTTGATTGAAAGTTTTAGTGTCTGTTGACGTTGACATTTTATTGAACACTTGGAGGATCTTTATGCTCGAGTTGTTTTGCCTAGTCACAACTTTCCCCGATCCATTAATTTCAGGATGTGCCTTGGACGTTAGTCCCATCTGCGAGGATATGACAAGAAGTTGATGTTCCACATCTTGAAGTGTCCTTTGATTTTTTTTCGTTCAATTGTTTCTGCTCCTTCGCGTGCATTCACAAAGAACTCAACAGTTACACATGGCGAGTCAATGTACCTTGCAAAGCTTTAATCGACTTTGTGTGATTTACCATAGCTCAACCCGACTTATTCTCAACGAGAGCATCAATGCCATAGACTTTCTTATAATTTTTGAGTAATAATAATAGAAGAAATAGAAAAAAGCAGACAAGATAGAGAAGAAAGGTTTCAGCAAGGAACACTGAACTTAGAGGAGAAAATAGTCGCAACCATAAGTTTAACAAATATCTCATCCTTAAGTCATCCTAATTATTTATACTAAAATTTCTGTAATATATTAAAATAAAATCCAGCTAACAATGGTTCAACATCTTTCGGGTCCCCTTTGGTACGATCTTTCGTAACATCATTCGATTTTCGGTTCTTAATATATAAAAATCTATTATATAATATCATAATTAAAATAATAATATCAATTACTTTTTAATTAAATTATTATCAAATTAACTTAAAACATAAAGTTAATAAGATATTAATAAATCTAATATAAAGAGATTAATATTGTAAAAAAATCAATTATCAAATTAAGAAACTTATTAAAAAGGAAAAATCCATAATTTGTGTAGGACGAGATCAAATTAAAAGAGAGGCAGAATGATAATTTCTCCAAACTAAAATTTAAAAGCAATTGAAATTCGACAGCTGTCCGATGCGGGGGCAAACGTTTGGAAGAGAAGATAATTCTTTGTCCACCAAGCACTCATACATGACGTCAGGAGAGACGTCCACGTGGCCCGAACTCCAGACGGTTCGCGGGAAGAGAACTCGAAACCTCTCGAAGTGAGAAGAAAATGTTCATTTTAAGTTGTAAAAAGCTACTATAAATATCCCAAATCCCGAACATTTCAAATATCAGATTAGATATAATCCCGGTACAACAAAAATTTTGATCTCGAACTCAAAGCCTTAGAACAAACCTCATTCCTACTGGGTATAGATTCGCTCCGATCGCTGAGTTTCGTGGAGTTGTGGAACCGAATGGATTGATTTTTCCGATTTGTTCTTTCATCTTTGTTTCTCCGATCAAATTAGCTGTAAGTAATCGTTTCTCCTCCTTTTTCGTTTCGTTTTCTTTTCTCGGCATTCATTTTGTGAATGGCAAGTCCAGTTTATGAATAATTAATTGATTTTTGTATGAGATGAGAACATCCCTTTTTTTTTCTGGCGTTCATTGCTTTGTTTTATTGTATGAATCTGTCTGTATCTTTTTTTGAATAGTATAAGGTGATTACTATGTAGCTGTCTGTATCTTTTTTTTTTTTGAATAGTACAAGACTTTATTGGTTTATCATTTTTCTCAACCATTGACAACTACACTCCTATGTAGCTGATCGAATCTAGAAGCTAGGGAGAATAGCACTAATCACTGAGATTATTCAATGGGATCAATTTATCTCTATTATATACGGATTGTCACATGCTTGTATATTTTGTATGGCGTTGTCATTATTTTCATGTTTGATGTTATGTTTTGATTTTTCGTTTCCAAGATGGGTGTATATCAGCAGATATTATATTTCATGTTTGAGTCGTTGATTTGTTTACAGCTCAAGTTCACAGTACTATGATGTAAATTGTATGTTAGTGATAAATATTTGTTCAGGAAATTGATTTTTCGATGGATGCAATTTTTTCTATGCTGTTTATAACGTTGTTTTTGTTGCTTGTTTTTCTTTTACAGGTTTATTCAGTAGTTTTGTTTTTGCAGCGTTTCTTTGATCAACCTATATCACCAGGCTTTGACACTTCATTGGTTTAAAAAAAAAATGATGCCTTTTTCTGGTTACATGGACTCAAATCCTATCCTGAGAAATCAAACGCCTTACCCTCAACATTATTTCCCTGGTTTCGAGGCTGTTCCACCTCATTTCAAGGCCGATCTGTCTCAATCTTCCATTATGTATGAATCTTGGCCTTGTAGCTGCAGGTACCCTGTTCCTTATCACGGTTGCTGCAGTCATGGCAATTTCCCTGGTTGCTATAGTCACAGACCACCTTGCCCTCATTTTGCACCATCACCCCCATTTAACAACTATCCAAATTATCCCACATTTACTGAACCTTATCCGGTTTATTGTGCTCCACCACATTTTTCAAATGAACAACCTAGATGGGAATACGATATGGATCCACACTCGAACTATCATTGCTGTGGGTGTCCTAATCATGTTCACAACCAGAAAAATAATAGAAGTTTAAAGATTGAAGAGCAGGAGAATGATGCTGAGGAAAAGGATGGTGGTTCAGTGGCTCCAATTCAACCAAGAAGTTTTCCATATCCAATTGTGTGGATTCCACCCGAGTATATGAAAAGTAAGGAACGTGGTAAACATAATGATCGGATAGGGATGAGTGACGCGGGTAAGGTACCTTGTGTTGATAAGCCTCCCAAAAGTTCAAAACCGACTGAACAGAAGCCGAGAGTTTGGAACGGTTGGTTACCTCTTGACATGAATGGATGGCAATCTTTGGCGCAGGGTGAAGGGGAGAAACAATCTCAAGACCAACAGAAACAAGACAAAATTATGCAGATGCCGTTCCCTTTCTTATGGGCTCCAAATTCTGATAGGAAGCAAGAAGCAGATGAAAACCGAGGTGGACTATGGAGGACAACTGCTTCAGATAATTCAAAACAAGCCCCAATCACAGTTGAGTATGTTCCAGTAGAACCTTCTGTCAGTGATGTTAAAACCGACAAACCTCAATTGGACATACAGAGCTCTCAGCCTCTCAGAACAAGAATGCTTCTGAAACAAAGGGGAAAACGGTTAGTCAAAAATGTGTTCCTGTTGAAGTGAAGGAAGGCAAGTCTGAAGGGACTGTAAAGAGAGGGACAGACGTTAAGGATGCAAGTGTGAAATGTGCTGAAGATGCCTCAAAAGATGATCTTGGGACTGTTGCTAAAAGAAAATCTCTGTCCCCTCCGAAAACATCCAAGCTGCCTCCTGTGTGTCTGAGAGTTGATCCCCTTCCAAAGAAGAAAAACGGTAAGGGCAATTCAAGGTCTCCTAGCCCTTCTAAAGGACAATCAGAAGACACATTGACAAAGGCCTCCATTGCTCCAGGCAAGAAAGAAGAGACTGCAGTAAGTACACAAAACACCAGTAGTAGCCTTGACAATGTGGAACCTGGGAAAAAAAAGAGAAAAGACATTCCTGTGATTGAAGAAAGATCCGAGGAGAACAAGGCTGGAGAAACTACTGGTGCTAATCAGGCTCAGGTTTAAGGAAGCTTATCTACTAAATCCGAAGAAGTGTTGGGGCAGCCTACTGTGGAAAGAACAGAAAAAGAGAGTCATGAAAGTAAAACTGAAGAGGAAACAAAAGAAAGTTTTGAGGAAGTCGTGGGAGCTGAGAAGGAAGTTGGCAGTGACAAAGCTGCAAATACAGTTGAGCCTGCTCATGGTCAATGCAAAGCAGAAACAAAAAGAATACCGGATGATGAAGCAGCCAAGGTCATCCAATCTGCCTTCCGAGGATTCGAGGTAAGAAAATGGGAACCATTGAAGAAACTGAAGCAAATAGCTGATGTTCGTGAGCAAGTCAACGAGGTCAGAAATCGCGTTCAATCTCTCGAGTCTTCCTCTGTTTGTGACAAAGATGATAAGCTGAGACTATTAATAGGAGAAAAAATAATGACTCTCCTTTTACGACTGGATACTATTCAGGTATGTACACAACTGGTTAACTAAATCTGGAAACTTGCATTGCCCGTATGGATTATTTGCTTTGCTTTATTTGTTTGTGGTACCAAATATTATTAATAGGATTGCATTTCAGTATGTTATCAAGTAATTCTTTGATTTCCAGGAAATACAATTATTGGAAAATGGCAATCTAAGTGAGATAATGCTTATTCAATCTTGGTTTATGTGTCTGGTTTTTAGGGCTCTCTCTCAAGTGTGAGAGATGCAAGGAAATCATTAGTAAAAGAGCTAGTGACCCTGCAAGAAAAGCTCGATGGTCTAGCAAGCAAGTGGCCTGAAGAAAAGATAAAGGATCTTGGTAGTGCTGAATCTGCTGATTCTAGTGGTCAAGCTGCTGGAATTGTTAGCATGGAAATTTAAACAACAGCTTTTGAGGATACTAGTGAGAATTTAAACAACATTAAAGAGTCAGATCAGGAATGCCTTAAACATATAGAGGATGCCAGTAAGGATGAGGAAGCTGCAAAGCTTCCCTGTGTCGAACAAGGTTTAGATGAGAAAATAGAGAGTAGTACCGTGGATGTCAATATCGAGCATCATACAGTACTGACAATCAAAGAGGAAGATATGCCACCCAGCCTTGAGCATATGAATCACATGTCATCTGTTCCTGAGTTGAAGTTTGACGCCGATGAGCTGGTGGAAGCAAATAGTCTATCAAAAGAGGAAAAACCTGAGGTGGTGAAGTAAATGATCAGATTCCAGTGGATAATAGCTCAGAAGATGATAAACTGGAAGTGAATGATCTATCAAAAGAGGAAAAACCTGAGGTGGTGGAAGTAAATGATCAGATTCCAGTGGATAATAGCTCAGAAGATGACAAACTTAGCTCATTACCAAAGGCTGATCATGAGGTAGCCGTTTGTGAGCCTTAAAATGAAATCGGAAATAGCAATACCGAGACAGAATCTGATCCGGCAATCAATCCGTCTTTGCCAGATGAGTGCACTCAAGCAGACCAAGAGATTGACTTGTTAGGGGTTGCCAGTTGACGTAATTGATGAGGAACCAATTGAGGCAGTATCAAACTACAGTGCAAAAGATCAAAAAGAGGGTGAATTTACTAATAGCCGTGAGCCAGAAGTAGAGATGGAGCAGAAGGTGGTCAACGATGACAAATTCGATAGTCTTCAAACCGGAGGATGCTCACTCAACAACAGATGAAGAAAAGGAACTGGTGGAAGTTCACTCGACAATGGATGTAAAAAACAATGACGACCTGCAGCAACGTGAGGATGATTCAGGCGTGATACCTGCTGACCATATGACATCATCAGAATAAGAGGCAGGAAGCGAAGCAACTCGGGAGAAAGAAGTCCTCTTCGAGGAGATGAAAGCAGCAGAGCCAGCCGGCAAGAACTGAAGAGAAAGAAGGGAAAAAGCAGGGAAGCGAGACTAATATGCTTCAAGACGATGCTCCTTTAGAATCAAATGCAGTGCATGACCTGGCCAAGACCGGAGAAGACAAGAAGCTGATGGAAGAGAACAAGAAACTGAAGGAGGTCATGGAGAAACTCATGGAAGCTGGAAAAGATCAACTTAGTGCCATATCCAACCTGAGTGAAAGAGTGAAAGAGCTTGAAGACAGGATGGCAAGGACCAAAAAGTCGAGCAAGACAGGGTATAGAAGAGTTAGATTTGCACCCTCCTACAAGAAGCCTGCGAAAAGTAGGGCTGTTGAAGTTGCAAACTGAGCTTTCCTCAAATCTAATACGTTGGACTGAGTGAAGTTATCTAAGGGTGCGGTTGATGTTGTGTATGTTGATGAAATAATATCAATTATATGGTTGCTTTTTTTTTCTCTTATTATTATTATTTTTTTAAAATGCCGCTTCTTGTTCGAGTTAAGACTACTATAAAACCTAAAAGTGTCATGCTCTACAAGTAATCAAAATCAGTACAATAATCTAAGTGGCTATATTATTTAACTCAATAGGATGATTAGGAAATTATTTTGAGTTCTAAGGTATTTATTACGGTATACGTAGAACTTATTATGTCCAAATTTGTTAGGTTGGTATGACGTCATATCGGCGTAATAAATTTTATATAATTTTATTTTATATCATAGGATGAGTTTTAATTTTTAATATATTTTATAAAATTTATCACATCGATATAATGAATTTTATAAATACCGTAAAAATATTGTAAATTTTAAAATAATTTTCGAATCACTTTATTGTGCTAAATAATTTACCTTACAAGTATTTGGGCTAAGGGTCTGTTTGTTTCCCGTAATTGGAATTACGGAATTGGTTTTCCCCGAATTCTGTGTTTGTTTCACGTAATTCGTTTTCCGGAAAATGTTTTGTTTGTTTCACGTAATTCGTTTTCCGGAAAACGTTTTCCCGTTTCACGTAATTCGTTTTCCGGAATGTAATTCATTTTCCTAGTAACAGAATTTCCTTTGTGTTTTCTGTAAAATGACTTACGGATTCATTTTCCGTAAGTCATTTTCCGAACTTTTCACTTCAAAGCAAAAATACTCAAAATAATTTTATTTTATGAATTTAATATTAATAAAATATTTTAATATCATTTTCATCAAAATATTAATTATTAAAATATTTAAAATATTTATTAATATTTATAATAATATAATATTATATTTTTAATATATATAAAATAATCAATTATATTATATAATATAAGATATTATATTTTTATTTTAATAATATATAATAATTTTTTTTATATATTTAATAATGAATAATATTATTTATATTTCAATAATATTTTAGTAAAGATATTAAAATATACTAATTAATATTTTTAAAATATAATATAGTACTATTACTTTAATAAATAATTAATATAATTTATAAAATTTATTTCACTAAAATATACCGAAATTTTTTTAAATAACATCTTCCAAACATCATAAAACGTTTTCCAGATGTTTTCAGAAATGTAATTCATTTTCCAGAAATGTAATTCATTTTACAGAAATGTAATTCATTTTCCAGAATTCAAATTCTAGTAATTCATTTTTCAGTAATTCAAATTCCAGTAATTCAAATTCCAGTAATTCATTTTCTGAAAAACCAATTACAGCTAAACAAACAGACCCTAAATTTACCTTACAAGTCCAAATGTCAGCAACAAAAGGAAAACAAAACCCCACGCAGAAGCAGCGAAAAACACAAACTTTCCGATGAAGCAGTTCATTGCCTCAACGACCGTAGCTCATAACTGGTTTGGTCGACCTTCACTCCTACCAGTCCTATGCAACGCCATCTCCTCTTCCGCCGCCGCTTCCGAAGTCTTCAACACCAATCTCATCCGGCTATGCTTTGCTTGCTTCGTCCCTTCCGAAGATGGATACTATAGCTGCCGTCGAGAGGATCCTCAACGACAGTTTTCAGGAAAAAACAGTATTTGGAGGATCTCTTGACGCACTTTTCTTATTCGGTACTGCTCTCGGCCTTGCTTTTACTAATTACAGTTTATGGCTTAGCCCAAGCTTGATTCTGGGCAACTTTGGTTGATCAGGCAGCTAACATAAGCACCTCAATACAGGATATTTTAACAAAGGTAAAACATCAAATGAACATTTGTGTCAAACTCTATCTGAACTTCATGATAATAACATGGGCAAATTGAATCATGACAACAATAATAGAAGATTTTTTTAACACGGGCAAAACATTGAATAAAAATGATTATCCTTTGTTCCCATATTTAATGGGGTAAGGGTAGGTAAGATAGTAGGTGCCCCTAACATCAGGTTGAGAGCAGCTTTCGTAGAAGACCTCCGAATTATGAAATGCCCTCCGTGAGACTCGATCTCATGACCTCAAAATTAAAAACCTTGTGTTCTATTAACTGAGCTAAATAGTTATCTTGGGCAAAACATTGAATGAATATATATATATATATAGTATCTAGACATAGAACCTGGATATGTCTTCCAAAACTACATCTTGACAATCACAATATTAGACATTTAGCATAAGCATTACTCGGAACAAACATATATAGAACCTGTAGACGCGTAGAGATGCCTTCGCACAATTTACGTCATTTCAAAAGCATCAAAATATCTCTACAATTATAGGCGGACTTTCGTGGGGTTTAAGAGGAGCAATAGCCTCTGTCGATTTTTTTAAGTATTAATTAATATTTAAAAAATATTATTTATGAAAATAAAAAAATATTTTAAACCCGTTTCAATAAATTCTTAGTTCCCTCCGTGTCTTATGACTTTAAAATTTATTCAAAGGATCGAGTTGTCTTGCTCTATTAATAGGAGTTCTTCCATTATGTCTTAACGATAGGGGTGGCAACTCAACCCGAATCCGACGGGTTCCGACCCGATCCGAAAAATATATATAATTTTACCTATATATTTAGGGATAATTATAATATTACCTCTTTATATATAATTTTTTTCAATTAAGTCACTGTTTTTATTGAATAAAAATATTTTTTTAATTATTTCGGGTCGGGTTTCTAAGTCATATATTCGGGTCGGGTCGGGTCATGGGTGGAGGACTCTTTCTTCTCGGATCGTGTCGGGTGACCCAAAAACCCGACCCCACCCATTGTCATCCCTACTTAACGAGCACCAATATATCTTTACCTTAGCGAGGGAGATGGCATCCCACCACTTCTACCAAGACAAAGTTGCCTCAGCATAACTTAAAGTGTATTTCGGGGTGTGAAGATCCATCTTCCCCACTTACAATGCCACCATAGGCTGGATTGCCTTATCTACCGACCAAGAGTAATGATATACCTCTATTCCTCTTTAACTAAAGAACTCTTTTGATATATTCTTATAACTGATCGAAAGAGTTAAGATGCCTTCGTTTTGGCAATAAAAGTCTATCTATTGTCACCTACGAAATGTTAAGATGCATCCACCTCAAAAGTGTCCAGATATCTCCATTTGTTTTACGATATTACACCGGGGATATAAAGTTGTCTCACACTCTAAGTACTACAACCTAAAAGTATCCTCCAAAGAATGCTAAGATATCCCTGCTCCAATAATACGAGACTTGTCATTTTTATTATGAGTGTGGAGATGTCTTTTCTCTAACAAGGAAAATTGAAAATTACATATAGCTTTTACCATACAGAAGATGCATTTGTTTCTTCATCACATTTCTCCGAGGACGTTGAGTTCCCTCTTCTCTAGTCGAGAGTGTGGAGATATCTCCGCTCCTCCTTAACTAAAATGACTCTTCCCCTATCTCTCTAACACTAGTTGAAAGAGTTTGGATGCCTCTATTATGGTAATATGAGTCTCTCCATTATTGCTCATAGAACATTGAAATTCCTTCATCCCGAAATTGTAAAGATGTTTTCGTATATTTTATGGTTATTACAATAGGGAATGCAGAATTGCCTCACACTCTAGTTACTATAGCCTAAAAGAATCTTTCGAAGATTATTTCTAGAATATTCATTGATATTATGAGTGTCTATATGTCTTTACCCTAGCAATAAGAAATTGAAAATTCCTCGTTACTTTTACTAATGAGAATAAGCCTCTACCTGTTTGTCAAATTTCTCCGAAGGTATTGAGTTGTATCCTTTCTGCCCGATAGCGTGGAGACGTCTCTTCTCTTTTCTAACTAAATGGACTCTTTCTCTATCTCTTTAACACTGGCCAAAAAGTTGAAATGTCTTCGTTCTAGCAATATGAGTCTCTTCATATTTTTGCGGTATTACATCGGGATGTGGAGTCGTTTCACACTCTAGCCGCTCAAGCATAAAAATTCTCTAAAAAAATGTTGAGATGCCTTTGCTCTAGCAATATGAGTCTCTCTAGTGCTATTACGAGTGTCGAGATGTCTTTGTCCTAGTAAGAGGAAATTTGAAATTCACTATTGCTTCTACCAAGAAGATATATCTACCCGTTTGTTGGATTTCTCTAAGGGTACCAATTTGTCTGCTCTTTAATCAGGAGCGTGAACATGACTTTGCTCCACCATAACTAAGGGGACCATACACAATCTTTCTAACGACCAGCCAAAGAGAGTTGATACACCTCTGCTACGACTATAAGTATTTATCCTTACCTTTGAAGAGTGCTGAGATGATGTTATTTTCTCCATTATTTCATTAAAGCTTCGAGAATCTTCTACATGATATGTGTATACCTCTGTATGATATATGTATACACGTTGAAACTTCACTCGATGTAAAAGTGGCCTACTTGATTTCTATAAGTCTTGGGTCAAGCCACTTTATGACATCTCCTCAACCAATAGAGAGTTAGAGACTGTTTTTGTACCTCCTTATGATCTTCTTCGAAGTCACACCTCTACTTTCATTCCTCTATCTATCGAGTGTTGAGGCATCCATAGCTCTATATCCTCAAGAGTTCCTCGAAGCTTTTAGAGCTACGTCTTCTCTAGAGTCTAGATAACTACAATCCCTCGATGTGACCTCTAGTAGGCTCACGTATCTATGATTTAATATCTGACGATCATATCTATTTTGTTTGTCAACTACGCTTAGCCATCATCATCTTAGGCCAACACCAATTAGAAGGTCCAATATACAAGTTAACATGTAAAGCTGATAAAAGATGACTGAACTCTCTCCCATGTTTTCTCTCTATTGACAACGATTCATCATCATTTTTAGTCCGACTACTCTCCTCTCCTCCTGTATATAACAATCGGTTAGACTTTCCACTTAAATCAGAATAGGGTGAACAACTAACAACCGTCATAACCTCACCTTTTTGTCAACAATATACATAATATGCTTTTCTTATCGATGATAATAAAGGCGTCCTCATGACGGAGGCACATGCAGTTTGATAGGAGGAATTACTATAT